GTGATCTATTAAGTAAGATGATGCGCCTGTGTTCATTTGCATGGAAGTTCTTAGCAGACAACTTGCTAAACCGGCCATCCTGACCAGCGCAAAATATCGGTGGACCGTTGGTAATTAATGCTTCTCTTAGTGAATCTTCCCCCTGATCCCCACGTGGTCCATTCTTTTACATTATACAACTAGATTACTTTTTCATCCAGTTTACTTCGTCCCAAGCCTAGTCTCGCTGGGTCAGATGTGATCCCGTAATAAGAATACCGTTCTGGGGACAACTTGTTGAATTTTTGGTGCTGGATTTCACCGAACAATCAATAACACAAGCAAAACAAGCTATCTAGCGAAGCACTAACATTAGCTAACAGAACTGTAAAAGGTTCTGTTTATTTCTACTGCAAGTGACGTGTTCTCTGCACATGCGCCTCACAGCTGGGGTCTATTTCAGCCATGCTAACTTGCGTAATGACAAGCTTGTTGTTCTTTGGACCACGTTTGTCCCCACCCACATTTGGCCCTCATGACTATCCCCAGGTGTTCTTGTTATGCTCTCCCAATAATGAAGGAGAGCTAGCAGGGCAGCACCATATGGACAAAGTAATAGTGCTGTGATTATATTGCTACATACTGCAATCCTAAATGTGCCTTTCAAAGTATTAAAAATGCACTACTAACTAATAATTTGATGTGTAGATTACCTTGTGTTCTGTTGACCCAAATACTTCCACAAATATCTGGATTCATGAAAACTCACAGAATTACTCATTTGGATCTGTGATTGGTCAGGATGCTCACAGCACACAAAACACCGTGACTGGCTCAGTTGCATATTGCAGCTTTTTAGGGGTCTAGCTAGCATAGAAATGATGTCAACAAGTCTATCCTTCATTTACTGTTAAAGAGGAATTTCCACATAAGTGAGTTTGTGATGTAAACAAAGTCATTCAGAGTGGTTTGATGTGAAATGGTTTATCGTAGAGAAACGTACTGATTCATATTCCTTTACAGTGGTGTTGAGTTTTTGTGTCTAATGTTAATGATGGTAAAATAGTTTTTTTCTGGGTACTGTTTTGCCGTTCAATGCCCTGTGTCATGTGTCCCTTGGCTCCTACCCCCTTCTCGGACTCAATCTCCCAGAGCTCTCAGGGAGATCACGTGACTCTATTCTTTATTCTGTGTCACATGACTTTTAATATGTTTTACCTGTTTCCATTTACCATGTGATTTTGTATTTGGTATATAAACCCAGTCTTTAGAATAGATCGAGTCTAGGTATTGTGTTTTATGCTCTCTATCTTGAGCCTGAGAGTATATTTTTCCTGTGGGTACAATCTGATTTTCTGTATTTTTGACTTCACCTGTATTTCTTGCCTGTTTGGATTTGTTCGCCTTGATTATCTGTTTGGATTTAATTCTGTTTGCCAACACTCAGCTCTGATCCTGACCCATGCCTGTTACCTGACTACGTCTGTAGACGCTCCTCATTCAAGTCCCTTGGCTGCGAGCGTCTAACTCTGTCTCATTACAAGCTACCCAGCCTGTCTTGTTACATGTATGAATTACTTAATACATTTTAGGCCAAAAAAGTTTTGTAAAACAATGAGAGGGAGCTTTTAGAGGCATTAAAATCCTCAGACGTCTGGTTCCTATCACCACCACTGTGAACAATCCTCTAAAGTCTCTCTAATACAGAATATTTCACATTAAACCACTCTGAATGGCTTTACATCTTAACCATTTATGCAAGAAACATAAATGAAACAACAGTGTAATTCCCTATTAAACACGTTAGTACAGAATTCAGCGTTCAATTAAATATGCTTAGAACCTCACAGAACCTGTCTTTCTATCCCTAACACACACGTTTCAAGCTGAAAGAGACTGACAGCTCCTGTGAAGTGGAGAGATGGCAGTTGATAAGATGCACACACATCCATTATTCACACAAGCTAAAGGACCAAGGGACTACATCTGATTAAGTGAAACCACCACAGGCCCCAGTGACAGGCTTTTAACGCTCAGTACGCCTGTAGCTCAAAAGCTTGGCCAGTGGACTCTCTTTTGGGCTGTTATATCTCATCCTGGTTGATCTTGGGAGCAGGGAGTGAAAAAATAACATCAATTAATTTGACAATCTTATAGAGTGGCAGATATATTTTAAAGGCATTGGGGCAAAAAGCTCCTCAGAAGGCATAACGCCACTACTGTTACGCTAATCTTCCTATTTGTATTGGCTTTACATTATTTTTATATGGCTTTACAAAGCATGTAAAGAACAGTTGAGTGCAGTGTTGTACAAGTCACTTTAGAAACAATGACAGTAAAGATGATGAATGATAAAGTCTCAGATGCTGCTCTGTGATTCATTATATAACCGCATTCAGTTTAGTGTAAGCTCATTAGGCTGCCTGCACATGAAACTCTTTCCACGGACACCTTTAAAGCTATACTGACAACTTACAGCACAGAGCCCTGAGGTAACTGACGATAGTATTGGGAATCTTATATGGTTAACATCTGGAACATCTCTCACTCCAAATGAATTGAGATTAAACTATTTTGAACTGAAGATGTTAAAGCAGAATTATGTAAGATTTAGTTGTTAAAACTGAAAAAAGTGTCAATACTGAGTGAGGAGAATATAAACAGGCTAAAACATTCACACCACATCATACGTCTTTATATACACCGATCATTATTATCTACGCTCATTGTCCATTTTATCAGCTCCACTTACTATATAGGTGCACTTTGTAGTTCTACAGTTACAGACTGTAGTCCATCTGTTTCTCTGCATACTTTGTTAGCCCCCTTTTACCCTGTTCTTCAGTGGTCAGGACCCCCATGGACCCTCACAGAGCAGGTACTATTTGGGTGGTGGGTCATTCTCAGCACTGCAGTAACACTGATGTGGTGGTGGTGTGTTAGTGTGTGTTGTGCCACTCACTGTCCACTCTATTAGACACTCCTACCTTGTCAGTCCACCTTGTAGATGTAAAGTCAGAGACGATAGCTCATCTGCTGCTGCACAGTTTGTGTTGGTCATCCTCTAGTCCTTCATCAGTGGTCACAGGACGCTGCCCACAGGACGCTGTTGGCTGGATGTTTTTGGTTGGTGGACTATTCTCAGTCCAGCAGTGACACTGAGGTGTTTAAAAACTCCAGCAGCACTGCTGTGTCTGATCCACTCAGACCAGCGCAACACACACTAACACACCACCACCACGTCAGTGTTACTGCAGTGCTGAGAATGATCCACCACCCAAATAGTACCTGCTCTGTGAGGGTCCATGGGGGTCCTAACCACTGAAGAACAATGTCACAATGTTATGCCTGATCGGTGTATTAACGTCACACACAGACTCAAAAAGAAGGTGCAGCTCAATGTTTAGGCCTCAAATGATCTCAGAATCAATATAATATTATACTGATGAAGATATAATGACAACAGTAGATAGTTCTCTCACATTTGACTGAGTTCTCTTTGAAGTCTCTTTCCATCATCATGTTCATCAGCTCAGGGAAGGGGAGCAAAGCACAACCCACGATACAATGTTTTTTTGTTGCATGCAATTACACATTCCCATCAGAGAGGTCTCCTAATGTCCCACACGTACCCAGTGCAGATTTATATACAAGGCTAGTTAAAACAGGCAAACAAAATAGGCTACCTTAAAGGGGAATTTCAATGTTTTCTCAACATTTCTGCATAATTCAATTACTGTTATGTAAGCAAATCATTCAGAATTTTACTGTAAATTGGTGCTTTGCAAAAAAACATACTATCTATTGATTTTCTCAATAGGTGAAAGGATCCAGGGTCAAAATGTCAAAATGTAAATACAGCCATTTTGTTTACTAGTTAAAAAGAGGAGTGAGCCTGTTTTATATGTACTTTTATATGTGGTGTTGATGATGGTAAAACAGTGGTAAATCAGAAAATAAACATTTTCTTTGGGCATTACTTTGTCTTACAGTGCCCAGCATGTACCTGTCTGCCATTAATGTATTTTAAAAGTATGTTTTAGGCCAAAATGTTCTCAAAGCAATCATAAAACAATGTCTCAGGCATCAAGAAAATAAAAATGGGTTTTAAAAATACATTTTAGCCACTGTGAACGATTCTGACTCAGTAAGTTTCTCTAGAAAGAAGTGTTTCACACCAAACCACTCAACGATTTTGCTGACATCTCAACGACTGAATTATGCAGCAATTTTCAAAATTCTGTGAAAATTCATTAACGTGAAGCAATTTACAGGTTGTTAAGGTACGATTTCTTAAATCTATACCAAGAATAAAGTTAGTCTGCCTGTTCCTGTTTATTGTCTCTGATTTAATCAGACGTCTCTGTGGTGTTACTACGTTATGTGCTATGCTGATATTTTGTAGTGATACTGACCATCACTGAAAATCAACACTGGCTGGGTGGCATAATTAAACAATAGATGGTATATTTCACACTTCGGCCTAGTGGCGTCATCTTTGATGTCTAACCTTAGCTTTACATAAAAATGACATGATTTGGTCAGCGTTATGCCCTACGACTGAGAGTACCTTTTAAAATGAAACTGTACCTTCATGTAAACATGCTCTTGTACAACACCACACTCTGGTTCGGTCTTAGCGGCCTCACGCACCACACGTTTTTGCAATTTCTCTGCTCCAACAAGCATGATTCAGCTCACGGGGTAATTACCAAGCACTTCATTAGCTTAATAGAGTAGGAAATCCTCAAAAAATGGGCACCGGATGGGGAAACACTTAAATGAAACAAGCTGCTGATCCATTGTTTCCTAAAGAACACCACAATGCAAGAATATCCCTTTTACGAGAATTTCCAACTTGACTCGATTTTTCTTTGCACACTCAAACGGCAGGTTTAGAAATCTGAACTGCATAAGCATTTGCAATACACTCTATAATACAGATTAAAAAGGTAAAAAAAGGTTGAAAAAGATTTCTGCACACAGAAATAACACTCTCTCTCTGCCACTCTCTCCTTCAGACTCCATCACAGATCGCTGACTGTCGGCCTCTGCCAGTGAAGGTTGGCGTCGAGGCACACTGATGCCTAGCTGGGTCTGAGGCGGGCAAACGCAGGCGCAGACGAGACGCAGCGGAGAGGCACACGCGCAGCCATGCGGCTCTTCACCGGGCCTGTGGTGAGCCGCTCTGGGAGCAGCACTCAAAGCAGCCCCGGTGAGTCAATCACGTAGCTATCGACCTGTTACTCTGCCCTGATGGAGGAGCCACGGAGAGATAAGGCCTCTTGATTGGTCTTGGGACAGTCTAGCAGTAGCCTTCCATCTTAAAGATGGAGCACGTTACACACAGTACTGTGCAACACTCAGAGACCACCATTCAGTCATTTGATTTCCACACAAAAACAGTCATTAAGTACAGTTACTCATTTTTCTGGAGATATTTCTGAGATCAGTTATAAGATAATTCATTTGCATAAGAAAGGAGAAAGGCAAAGGAAAATATGTGAAAGCTTCTAAAATGCTGAAGTTACAGAGACAATGGGCCTCCTAACAACCACCTGGAAGACCTGGTCGACCCCAAAACTGCCCCATCAGATAAACAGCACTTAAAGCTTTCATCTCTGAGAGAGAGGAGAAAATCAAGCTGCTTCAGATCTGAAAACATCCACAGGTGTTTCTGTCCATCCTTCCACTGTGAGAAGACGACTCAGCGCTGTGGGTCTGAAAGGATGTGTAGCTGTCAAGAAGAACCTCACTGAGAAAAGGAGACACATCAAACAAAGAAGCTGAACAATGGACTGACCACCCCAGAGTCCAGACCTCAACACCACTGAATGTGTTTGATTACTTCAGAAAATGATCAACCAGCTTCTAAGACTGAACTTTGGAGGTGTGTCTGCAGATTCTTTGAGGAGCTGAAAGTGAGTCTCCTGAACAGAATGGAAGCTGGAATGAAGGGAAAGAGTGAACTAAATACTGAAAAATATGAATTTATATTTAGTTGTTGAGGCTTCTGCGTGATTTTCTGTTAAATACGTTTTCTGCTTTTCGTTGACGCTGACAAATGAATAACATGTACTTAATGGTAAATTGGTAAACTGGAAATTAAACAAATGAGGGGTGGTCTCTGAATTTTGCAGTGCTGCAGATATATTTAGCAACATGATTAACCAACAAATGAAGCAAGGGCATTCAATGATACTGATACCAGAGGCGAAGCTAGAAGGCAAGCAAACAAAACAATTGCTTGGAGTCCTCAGTCAAAGGTGTGCCCAAGCAACTGACCTCACACTGACAGTTCAAGGTCGAAAATAATTTCACTTAATTAATTATTTATTAGTGGATGAAGCTCTGATTGGGTTTAAAGTCTACACTTTTCGGGATTTCGTCTGTACATTCTTGGTGGTTTCTGGCTTTTGCCCAGTACTGCATTCCAGAGAAATCTATAAATACACACCAATCAGGCACAACATTATGGCCACCTCCTTGTTTCTACGCTCATTGTCCATTTTATCAGCTCCACTTACTATATAGGTGCACTTTGTAGTTCTACAGTTACAGACCGTAGTCCATCTGTTTCTCTGATACTTTGTTAGCCCCCTTTTACCCTGTTCTTCAGTGGTCAGGACCCTCACAGTGCAGGTACTATTTGTGTGGTGGATCATTCTCAGCACTGCAGTAACACTGACGTGGTGGTAGTGTGTTAGTGTGTGTTGTGCTGGTCTGAGTGGATCAGACACAGCAGTGCTGCTGTGCTCATATTGTAATGTCTGATCGGTGTATACAAAACAGTGAAATTTATGAAGAAAGATTTGCATTTTTATCCTTTGTCTTAAAACTGCGGAGGCTATACAGGGCAGTGCTGCTCTAACAATGAGATATTTGGCTGTCACTTCGCTCCTTTCACGTTCACTCATTCTGCCCATCACGCGCACAAGCAGAGCTGCAACTGTTGCTCTCGAGTGACACAACGGCATCTGTCAATGTGTATGTGTAAATGAATTCAAGAAGAAATGCTCACAAGCTGCTTCACGGGAATCTGAGTCGAGTTAAATCTGGAGAGATTTTAAGTCTAGTTATTAGCTGGAGGCATTGCATCATACAAAAACCCTCTACACACTTAAAGAAGACGGTTCTTCAAGGGCTCCTTAGTAAAGGCAATGGTTCTATTTCAAAACCGTTTGCAAACAGTTTTTTGCGTGGTGAAATGGTTCTTCGGATTGATGGAGAAGGTGTATAAGCTTCTATATAGAACCTTTTTGAAAATAGTCCTGTGTAGCACCAAAATGGGTTATTTTATTGTTACAAGCTTGACATCATAATCAGAGCAGAACCCTCTTTGATGTTATATTGAACCATTTTCAACAAGGTTCTATATAGAACCTTATACAACCCATTCTCCATCAATCTGAAGAACCATTTCACTATACTCTTAAAAAGACTAGAAGGTGAGCAGCCCACTACATTATATCATCAACACAACCTACGCCTTTAGAAACAGGGGTTCTTCAAGGGTTTTTCAGTAAAGACAATGGCTCTATATAGAACCATGAACACTCAAAGAACCATTGCATTTCATGCTTGAATGGTCATTTGCATGGTGAAATTGTTCTTCAGATTGATGGAGAATGTGTTGTACATGGTTCTATATAGCACCAAAAAGGGTTCTTCTATTGTTACAAGTTTGACATGGTACATTCGTACTATATAAAACCATTCTCAAAAAGGTTCTGTATAGAACCATATACAACACATTGTCCATCAATTGGAAGAACAATGTCACCATGCAAAGAGCCTAAACTGGTTCTACATAGAACTCATGGTTCTAATAGAAATACTGCCTTTACTAAAGAACCCTTAAATAACTATCTTTGTTAATTGTGTATTAAAAACCTGTTTAATACGACTTTAAATGACAAGCCTTTTATTACAGAAAACCTTCAGTCTGAAGGACAAACTACATGCTAACCAACCACACCGAGTTGTTTTAACCTCTTATTCTCCAGGGTATATTTTGGTTTTTCCACCTGAATTTCCATGACCAAATCGTAAGGCAAATTATTCAATAACTGCATGAAATAAATGTAATTTTGTATTTTATTTTATTTTGTTTTTTTGTAAAAGCTCCCATCAAATTAACAGAACGTGTTTTATGATCATACACATTATGCTATATGCTTACAATTTACTGCTGAAAACTGAAAATCTTAGACACTCTTTGTATTATTTTATAAAATAACGTTTACAGAGCAGATCACTGAAGAGACGCCATCTGTTTATAGTTTATAGCCCAGATTTGTGAAAAATGGGTCGACTTTCAGTAGAAAAAAAATAGTGAGTTCAGCTTCTTTTATTATAAGGGTTTAAAATGACATCACCCATCTATTAGACTGGAAAGAAGACAGTTACAGCTCTCATACGACCCCCACCTTTAGAATGTAGCTTATGGAATATGAAAGTTATGAAGAATATGACAAAGTGTGTTTTGGAACCACCGGTGGTCTCTTAAACCCCACATTTACTGCATGCAGCACTTTATTCTGTCCATCATGTACGAATGAAGCAAAACTGAAGCGCAAACCCCCTCGCAGTAAAGAGTTATCTGCAACACGTTATTTAGATTTGCATGTTTGCTGCATTTTCATCCTCTTTGTATAAATTTTTAAGCTGTCATTATTCTTGTCCACATCTCAATCTTTCTATCTAGGCTTCTTTACTGTATATTTGAAAAATGTATCTGTTTTGGTCTGTGTATGTTCAGCATTTGAAAATTGTTTAATTAGCCATTTTGGTTATACTCACACTGTCCTAGAAGCACTGCAAGGAGTGCATTTCAGTGTCCCGTTCAATAAATGTGACCCTTTGGATCTCAAAGGATCTCTACCGTAAAATTAAGGACGTCAAGAGAGAAGAAAATGAACAATCTAGCTATTTACATGATGATGAGCTGCCTAAAAAAGATGAAAAAATGGAGGCACAAGGATCTGTTTACACAGCTATTAGCGTTAGATGTCTGTTCGTTGAGGCTTTGTTTATTGTCATGGCTCAGGACACTTACGAAATAAAAAACAAGCAGCCTTACATACAGCAACAACCTTCTAATGAACTTATATGATCATGTGATATATTATTGGCATTTTGACTGGCTGTTTCCTGAAACTTTCTTCACAAAAGTGAGACGCTTGCAACGGTTGCAGCTAAGTTTCAAATGAGTTTCCAGACGCTTTACGTTATGCCACTCAAATGAAATTTTGGCTACGTTCACACAGCAGGTAAAAGTGGCCCAAATCTGATTTTCTCACCAAATCCGATTTTTTTTGTTTCACATTATCTTTAAAATGTGATCTGTATGCAACATCAGTCTGAGCAGATCAGCTCCTAAACTGACCCACATGCGCGAAAGAACAATGCTTCACGCTGCTTGACGCGGCTCATCCCAAGGTAAACAATCACGACCGCCGTCTCCTCCGGCCGCGTTCGCATTTATTTTGAAATCTCTTCGAACACGGAGCGGTCGCGATAAGAGCCTTCTGATTTTTTTGTACAGAAACATCAGCCTAAATGTTTATGAGGTATCAGCAGCGCGAAACGATGACGAATGTCAAGTTGGATTGACGTAAAAGACCTTGAATTCTGGTCTCGCCGTTCAGACTGAGTTGCATTGCCGCAGATCCGATACGGATTTCAGTACCACATATGAAAGCGTCTCAAATCGGAATTGAAAATGTCTGATTCAGTGTGTTTTTGCTGATCACACTGACACACAGATTTGGGCCACTTTTACCTGCTGTGTAAACGTAGCCTTAGTTTCACGCAAGTTTCAAGCAACTTTAGAGCAAGTTAGAGCCATCTCTGTCATGCGTGTTAGAAAACATAGTTAACAGGCAGATCTACCATCTCAGAGACTGAATTAGTCTTCCATGCTGTCAAACTAAAAGGGAGGGATGATTAGAGAAGGACACAGAGTGGATCTCTAATAGTATTGTGCATGAAAAAGCAGTACCAGGCAACACGGAGAAAGAAGTCTAAAAGCATCTTTAACTTGAATATTTCAAGATGCTGCCTTTATCTTTAATCACCACGGCTTTCATCCTAACTAAATCCTCTGTCGTGGCACGCGCACACACATAGCGACTCGTAAAGGGAACAGAAATTACCAGCTGACACAGAGACAGATGGAGCAGGGAGGCCTGTGTTAATATGTGCCTGATTAAA